TCCCCTGTCTAATTCACATCTGGAGTCAGGTCTCTATCCTGAGCCAGGCTGATCTTTCCATCCCTGCCCGCCAGTGCTCAAGCATGGAACAACACAGGCATGCATCTGCACCCTCATATTTTCTGTGCAGTGCTCTGAGTTTAGGAGACAGCATAAATATGCTTTGTTCCTGATGAGGAACTAAATTCTCATGTTTTCTTCTGCTATTTCCTCTTTTGGGCCCCCAGAAAGTATATTCTGGAAACCACAAAATGAAAACCACTGTGAGCAGGGCAAATTCACAAGCCTATAACAAGTTGTTCTGTTTTATCTTCTGCCTCTTGACTCCTCCCCATCCAGCAGAGCCCACACTCAAACAGTAGCTACTTCTGCAGTACCAGCTGCACTGCAGTGTGACACAGCTCCCTCCCATAAAACACTGCCAATCCCCAAAATCTGCATGGGGTCACCCCTGCAAATGCTACCCAAAGCCCATCTCTCAGCTGCAGTTGTCAATGGCCCTAAGAAAAATGTCATGGAAAATCTTTCGAGCTGTTGTGTTAAATGCAAAGAACTGCACAAAATGTGGATGAGATCTGGAGAGGGAATGGAAACAATCTCAGTGGCTCCACAGTCTGCGGTGGTGAGGTACAGTACTCAGAGCTCTGGGCAGCCATGTGACATCTCCACGTTGACCAGACTTGTAGCTGGTTGGGTGCTCATATGATTCCCTAAAAATAGCAGCTTATGTTTCCCATCATTGCCGTCCAGCTATTTTAATTAGCCTGTGGTCTCTGGTTTTTGCTTTGTGATTTGTAAATAGGAAATATTTATGCTAGTCCAGCAAATCCACATTCCTCCCACCTCTTTTCTTAACTCAGATGGATTAGAGCTATGTTTATAAAATGCCTAATGCATTTGTCTTAGCATCTCTAAATGTCACCGGCTTTTCTGTAATGTTTTTTTCAGAGGACTAATTTTTAGGTCACTGCAGCTATTCACAGGTATTTTTCCTTCATCTGATGTTACAAGCCTGCTCATTTCCTAACCTTCACTTGGAAGTCTACTTCATTGCTCATCCTGGAACTGGCTGACACTCTCACAATTCTTGCTTATTGCACTGACAATTCCTGATGGCCAAAGTAAAGAAGAAAAAATTATTTCCAAGGTAAATTGTTGCCCAAACACAGATAGGTACCTGGCAGGCTTTTTTTTTTTGCTTAGTGGCTTATGTACTACAATGCTTTCCAGGATTGAACTTTTTTTTTTTTTTTTTTTTTTTTTGCAGAGTAATTTAGCTGTCTTCTGCTCTTTAGCATTTTCCATAGTAGGTTTCTTTTAAGTCATATCTGTCTTCTGCTCTCATGTTCAACATGAAATTGCTGTGCAAAAAACATCTTTCTGGGGTTGTGCAGATATGATCAAGGTATGTGTTGCTGCTGTCTTACTGTCAAAAACATGACTTGGCTCCTGATTGTGGTATAATTTGGGGGAAATAGATAGGATGTGGTCATGACTGATGCCCTTGACAACATTTGTAACAAAGTCTTCTGGTCTTCAGAGTCCTTCAAGGGCAACTTCTGTCCCTGGGAGCCAACAAAGGGTTGCTGAGCCCAGGCCTGCCATTACAGGCAAGGCACCTCCCAGGGCTTTTAGTAGGGTGCTCGGGGCTGGAATCCAGAGGAGCCATTTCTGAGTCAGCTGAGACTAGGTGATAACTGACTGGGCAGCAGTGGAGAGAGCAGGTCAGGCTGGAGACATTTTTTTAAAACTGAATTTAAGGTAGAGCTTGAAAGATAGCACAGCCAACATCTGCCAGAGCTCACAAGTGCAGTCAAAGCTGAGATGCAGCAAAGATTGTTGGTGTCAGGAGAAATCTGATTTCAAGGAAGAATTATAGCTTTCTTTCAGTGGGAAGAAAACCTCTCCTGATACTTTCAGAGGGCATACCAAAAACAATTTAGATTTTGTATTATATTAAATAATGTATTGTAAAATTCTGAATTGTAAAATCAGTGGTTTGTTTTTTTTTGGTTTTGGTTTGACCCATGCTGAATTTTTTTTCAGAGCTTTCTTCTACAGAAATTTTTTGTTTTTCTAGCTTCCTTCCAAGCTGCAATAAGGGCAAATAGGGAAAGATCCAATGACTTCATAAATCAGAATTTCTCTCCTTGTCAGAGCTCTAGAAGTCTCTGGCAAGGTTCTTACCTTGAAAAGTAGCCTTGGATGATGGCTGTGCAGGGGTGAAGGTAAACGCCCCTTCCAGCAGGTTGGAGAAATGGCTGCAAGGGAGCAGGCTGCAGGACTGCTCCTGTCTGCCCTCACTTATGTCTGCTCTGCTTTGTTTGTCTGGACAGAAGTTTGTTTTGAACTGGGATGTGGATTGAGGCTGAATGCAGAAGAAGACAAAGGTAAAAAGGAATATGGCAGAGATCTATTTGTCATTTCCTGTGTTGCCAGGTGCAGCATAGCCTGTGTTAGCTAACAAGAGGTGCTAATGCAGTGTTAGAAGATGTGGCTTTAGTTTCTCTTTGCGTGGGAAAAACCTATCGCAAAAGCAATAACAAGGGAACTTCTGTCAGAACCCTCAGCCCTTTGCAGCCTCCTGCAGTTAGGGAAGGCCAGGGTTTGGTCTGAGCAGAGCTTTTGCAGAAAATCCACCTGCTTGAGGAAGCAGTGATGCTTTTCCACTTGAGAGAAAATGTGCACATGCTCAGACAAGCCCAGTGCTTCCTAAAGGAGACAGCAAAACTGGAGACTTCAACTCACTTTCAGTCTTTCTCTCTGCTCGTTCCAGGTGTAAAACGCAGAGATTGCAAGAGGAGGAATAAATTGAGCACCTCCTCCCCAGAAACTGTATTTCTATTATCAGAGGAGGTGTGTATTCAGATCAGCTTGAGCCTGGAAAGAATTTGGGTCTGCTGACATGCTGCAGGAATGGGACAGAAGTTGGCAACCACTTCCCCATCCAGACAGGTCCTGTAGCAGTGGAGCCCTCCTGCTGGCAAACAACACTGGGCACTTGGGCTGTTGCATGAGGGTAGGTGGAACAGAGCCTGGTTTGCACCATGACTCCTTGTTCCGCCCTGCAGTGCTGCTGCACCTCTGGGCACATCCAGGAGCAGGCATGCAGGTGCTAGAAGCACCCTCAGAAAAACAGGCCTTGCAAAACTTCAGGTGGTGTACATGTGGAGCAGGTGAAGGTGTTGTTAGGCATTGTGGTATGTCTGTCCTTTGCCCAGAGACGAAGTTACTGCACTGACTGGGTTATCAGTCAACAAATCATTCAGCCTGTGCCTGCCAGGTGAGGGCTGAACCTGTATTTCTCTGTGGGGCAAAAAGTGCTGTAAACAAACAACTGAAAACTCAATATAATCCTAATACACTTCTGGGATATGAAGTAGCCCCCTTTCTTGTCCACGCCAAGAGAATTATAAACCATTTACTTTCTACAGTCAAAGTAGTTTGATGCTTGCATTTTCCTAGTCTAGAGTGGCACGCTTTCATTTCTGCTTATAATCAGTTCAGTTTTTTGGTTTCCATGTACCAGGGACCTTCTGCATATAATTGGTCCATTATCCCATTGAGGTCTGCATAATACTGCTCCTGTGAGACTTGCAACTAAGGTAATGAAGAAAAACCTGGCTCCCTTACTAGGGAAGAATTCCATTCATTTCCCTAAAGAAAGTGTTAAGTGGTGGGATACAACTCTGGAAATCCTGAAAAAATACTGCTTTTGCATAAGGCTTTCATGTGAGTGCTCTCAGCCTTGCCAAGCATACTGAGTTTCAAATTTGTATGTGTGAGGAAGTGTGTGTGAAAAATGGAGTTCATTAAACTGCATACATTCATTTGCTATTGACATATTTGTGTTAATGGCCTTCTCATTTCACATAAATTTAGAATTTCAGTCCAAATAGCTGTCTACAAAAGTTTGATGTGATCTATTATTGCTCCACACTCACTGAAAGAAAGCAGCAGGAATTTTTGCTTTCTAACTTTCCTGGGAGTAGGGTAACAACATCTGTGTGCCTCTGGGTTGTGTTTGCTATGTGCTGTTCAGTAATTTTCCCCAGAAGTGGTTTTATTTTAATGGCAGGCCATCTGATCCCAGAGTCTCATCTGAGCACTGAATTTGCAAATATTTGTATTTATTATCGTCGTATTTGAACAAATATAATGCCTATCCTAAGATGTGAGCCCAATCAAAGCTGGAACCTGCACAGCACATTCATCATGCACAGCACTAGCCCCAGCTGCTTTCCCATGAGAGGCCTCTGTTGGATTTTCCAGTCCCTCCAGCCACCCTTTCTGCAAGCATCCACAGTCAGTTTCCATAGGAGTCTTTTTAGTTGTTATTCAGCCTCCAAGCAGTTCACAAGTTCATGGGCTCACAGAAACTCGGGCTATACCTGCCTCTCTTCATAGATAGCAGGGATGGATTTATTTTTAGCACAAGTATTCCAGAAATACATTCCACCCTTCTTCAGAAATGTGTGGGAGAGACAGGGATACATATACAGACAGTTTTGCCTCCAGTAGTGTCAGTGGGTGCCTGAAAACTGGTTTTCCACTGCTTGTTTTCATCCCAACCTGTTTTTGCAGAGTGCAGCAGTTCTCTTGGATGGTTCAGCTCACAGGGGCCATGACTTGTGCACGCACTGGATCTTAACGTAGGTGCTGTCATGAGTTACAGGTATGAGTAGCTGTCGGAGTGTACAGTTTGGAGCCAGAACTTCACAGAAGTGCCCTGATGTTTGGCAAGACCAGCATTTGGTTTGGGATGAATTAGCAGAAGCAGCTGAGCACCAAAAGCACAGACCAGGAGCCTAGGAGAGTGGCCTTAGCAACATCTTCCTGCTGGGATATGTGGGGAAAAGTACACCTCTCCCAGGTGGGAAAATCAAGGCTGAACGCTGCTTTGGGGAAGGCAGATCATTGCCCCTCCAAGGACAGGTGAGTTCAGGCTGCTCCTGGGTTGCAGAGAGTTACTGTTTATCCCAAGCCTTCCAAAGCTCGGAGAATCTCAAGCGGTGAAGACGGCATGGTTGCTGCCTTACTCATGCTGTATCAATATAATTAGCAGCTCTTTTTAAAATGCAGGTGAACACCAGGCTCACATAGAGCCCTGCTCAAGCATGGAAATAGAAGTTGGGCCATAATCATAGGAGATTCTTTGTTTGCTGTGGGCTGAGGCTCAAGTCCAGAACAATGCTGAGCCCCAGGAGAAACCCATAACTCCAGCAAGAAGCTCTGCACCTTTAGCAGGGCACAGGGGGCAATCCACTGTTTATATCTGTGGTACAAAAACTGAGCTTGCTGACTTTGTGGCATACTTCCCCTATTATTCAATATCCTATTGCAGTTCGCCAAATGAAACCCAATGCTGGCATGTGCCTCCAGGAGGGCTGCTGATGTTGTTTGCTTTGGAAGGAGGGTGGAATGGGGTCCTTACTCTAAGAACTCTGGATACATCTGTCCAACTCTGATGATGAAATGAGCTATTTATGAAAAGGAATGGGTAGGACAGTAGTGTGTCACTCATGCCTGTATTTCTTACACAGTATATTTCATGGTGACCTTAATAAACACTTTGACTCACACCTGTAGGTACAAAAATGCGGTACTTTCAGGTTTGAATCACTGGCTGTAGCAAGCCAATTGCACACCATTACTTTCTGTATTAGTTATCTCTCAAGCATTACCACGGGCAAATCTGAATTAAAAATAGCTGATGACTGTTTGTTTCATCTGTCTGTTACTTGACACCGCATGGTTATTCCAATACGTATGTTTGCCTCTTCCCCACCATGATCTCCGTTTGGCTTCCCCTTGCCTGATAACTATTTAAATACATTTTACTAACTTTGGATTCCTTGCTCACTTCACTTCACCTGGCCTGGCAGGTCTGTGAGGACTCAAGGGTTAGCTCCTCCACTTTTCTTTTTTGATTGTTTATTTTTCAGTTACTGTTTCTGTTAAGATAACCATGTTCAGAAGAGAGTCTGAAACACATAAATAATGGGAAGTGCTAATAGTAAGCAGACTGCTGTAAAATGTGCTGGGGCTTTGACTTAAGGGAAGAAAGCGCAGCACTGTACTGTCCCTGATCAGGAAGCTGGAGCACTGAAGGTAAGGGGGAAGCATATGGGCATTTTTAAAACCTGGAAATGATGAAGAACGGTGGTGTCTGAGCGTGTGAATGTGAAATTGATCAGATGAGAGAAATCAAACAGCACTTTTAGATTTTTTTTCAGTGATGAGAGGTGGAAAGTTGTTCTGTTTGTCCAGCTTTTTTCTGCTCTTAAAAATGCTGGATTGCCTCTGAGAGTCTGTGTGTGGAAAAAGGCATACATATAGTATGCAGGGTATTATGCAGTGATTACTGTTTTTGACACAGCTATTCAGTAAAGGGGGGTGATTTTTTTTTTAAAGACTGCTAAATTGCTATGAAGCTCCATTTAATTGTCCTGCACATTTTGCAGTAAGCAATTTTAAGCAAATATACATTGATATTATTTTCCAGATGACTACTGTCTAGAGATAAAATACTCCTACATACTTCAGTTATTTGTGTAGGGGTGTGAAGGCATTTTTATTTCTGGTACTTTTGGTTTTGGTTTTTTTTGTTCGTTTTTGGGGGTTTTTTTGGAACAAATAGAAGAGAACAGTTCAAATATTTCATAGGCAGCAGTAAGTGCACTATAGAGCCTGAAAAAGTAAAATACTTCAAATACCTCAGCAGTGCTAAGAGGCCACTATAAATGACTGTGACTAGGACTTGTATCCACTTTTAATCACTGGAAAATTTCTTAAATGGCATAGGCTTCTCTGTGTCCAGTTGTTGCAGAACTTCTTCATCTGCCATCTGAAGGAACAACACGCTGTTAGCCTAGCACAGAACTCAGAGCAAAGCAAGAACGGGAATAGCTGAAATGAAGCTTGGGAACCGAAATCACTTGTGCTTTTTTATATGCCCTGTAAATAGGCAATCCAGTTAGTTCTGAATAAGGAAAAAAATCCTCTCACAAGGCCATAGTGGCCAACTGAGGCTGACTTTGTCAGTTCTCAGTTAGAGATCCCTTGCTGGTATCCTGCCATTGTTGGTGGGGGAGTGGGAGGGAAGGAGAAGTGAGAAGAAATAAGGAGTTCCTTTTCCGCACAGACTCAAAGCTTGAGGTTCTTCCCCTTTAGTTCTTCAGAGAACTGCCCATGCAAGGAGCAGAAACCCCCAGTTAATTGCTTGGAGGATAGACTTGTGAAAAATACTAACAAACTAGAGATTCTCTGCATTCAGGGGCTTGAAACAAATTTCTCTGTCCTTCCATGCTTTCCACTGGAACAATATTTAAATTACATGCATTTTTTATGGCTTACTTAGCAAAACATTATTAACAAGTGCTCACCTACGAACTGGAAGGGCCCAGCCAAGTAAGGGCATGCAGGTATAACTGCATCCTTGTAGCACAAATCTGTGTACAAAGATTTCACTCTGCAGCCTCTGAATCCTATCTCCTTGGAAATGTTTGTTTTGTTTGTGCTTGCATTACTTGAGCTGTGCAATACAATGTAAGACCAGTAAAAAGCCAGCTAAATCTATGGCCCAGCTTGGGAGAAAATACCACTGCATCAGTCTTTAATTTCTCCACTGGAGCTGGGATTGCTCACACAGAAAGCTGCTGGCAGAGCGGAATTCTGCAAGTGATTGTTAGCTGTAGGCTTAGCTGTGCTGGCTTGCAAGAAGCTGGGGTATGGGAGTGTGTACTGTGATCGGAGAGACTGCCATGGAGACCCTGTTTCCAGGCAGCTCATAGGGAAACTGAGGCAGTACTGAAGCCATCAGAATACAGCCCTTCCCTGATCACCCTCTTCCTGACCAAATGAGCCTCTTTAGTCAGGGATAGAAAGCAGATACTTAATTACAGTCCTGGGTTTCTTTATTATTCATCTCCTGTGCTTGCAAATAATGATATACATGAAGGCATTAGCCAGTAATGATTTATCTAAATCATCCAGTAACAGTCAGACCAACCTTCCTGTGAGCTAAGCAGGTCAAACGTCGATGCATCTTTTTTTTCAGTCTCTCACATCGCTGCACTGCAACAGTTTCAGGGTTATTTTCCTTGTTGCTTAGAAAATATGTCTGAAGCTGTTTTGGTGGCAGAGCCAGGTACCTGAAGGCCACCCAACTCATATCTTCCAATTATAAAAGATAGATGAAAATTCTGTGAAATTCTGAGGAAAATCTCTAAAAGGGATACATGTGGCTAACATTTAGATACAGCTTTACACACAGTCATCAAACAGCAGTACCCGGCAGTTTACAGCCAGTACAGACCCTCTGTCTCAGGTATGCCTCCACCAGGCTACAGCTGAATCAGACGTAAGTTGTCACACCTTCATGTCAGTTTGGCTTGACTGTCAGGTTCAGTGCTAACTGTTGTACAGTTCTGCACACTTCTGATGCTTCTGCTCCGTTGAGGTGTATTTCAGGGTGGTTACAGTGTCACTGAAGTTGCTGAGTGATGCTACTGAAGGAGCTCCTCTGGGTTATCCTCTCTCAAGCCAGTCATTGACCTCCCTCTTGGGAACAAGGGTGGATTCTGCTTAAAACTTGATCTTTTCTTGTTCTTTCTCTCTTATTTTTACATAACCATTACAGGATAATCTCAAGAAATGCCTTAGCATATGCATTAACTGTAAAAGAATGAAGAAGGGCCTTAGGGACACACTATTAAATCATGGCAATGAATCAATGCCTGAATAAGAAAAAGGAATCTTCACTTCCCAGGAAATAAAAGAACCCATTTCACATTGAAGAGGGAATTGTAAAGGACTTTCATCTTGTTCATGAGGAGACCATTAGATGGCTTTTTCCCCTCAAAAGGAAGAAAATATTGCAGCCTCCAGAGGTACCAACTGGAAGCACAGGTGGGTGGCCCTCTCAAAGTCCTCCAATGGGTGGGAAGCTGTCAGACTGACTCCCAGGTAGCAGGCATGAGTTTGTATTATGTCCTTCAGCTGGAATGGCTCTGCTATCATTGCAGATGATTGAGGTGCAGTTTGTCATTGCAGAAAAGATGTTAAGCAAATGGATGGCTCTGTGCTTGAGTCATATGTTATGGCATGTACAGAAGTGTTATTTTCTGCCTCCACATCACTTGCTCAAGAACTGAGCTCTTTTGACTGCACTTGAGTCCTTTAGCAAGGTATAAGTAAGAAATCTCTCTTTCTGCAGCCTGAGCCAGAAAACCTTGAAAACCAAGGCCTTCACCTTTTCTTCCCTGCTCAGATGTATGCCCCTATCCCCTGGTCTGAACTGTTCTTGGGGTCTGATTTTGTCTGCGGGGATGTTAGTAGGGCAGATCTCTGTTTCTCTAGATTGGTTCTGCATCATGCTGGATGTTGTTAACAGATCATACTAATGAACCTTGGCCCTGCCTTAATCTTCTGTAAAGACAAAAAATAGAGATTGGCTGGAACTGATGAATTCATTCTGGTGCAAATCTTCAGTGACGAAAATTAAACTGGGGCTTGATTTTAGTGTGCTTAGATAGTTTACAGGGTATGAAAATCATCATTTGTTACTCAGGTGTTTGAAGATGAATAAAAACTGGGTATGTGAATTCTTGTCCTCCAGTTATGGACAGTTTCCTCACTGATTGCACCCTGGCATTCAGAGAGGCAGCCTTAGCTGCTACTCAAGGGAGCCTGTCCGTGGATAGCAAGGCTCACAGTGCAACTGGCAAGCATTGTGCCTGTCACAGGTTGCCACATGCTGATATTCACCTCAATTCAGTGTTGTGTCTTCTCTGCTCTTCTGTTGTGTGTTTGTGTGTGTCTTCCATGATAGGTGTTTCTCAGGGATACTATTAGTTGCACTGGATTCTGGAGACAATGTGTTGCATGTTGGTTTGGGTTACCTCTCGAAACACAATCTGTGAACATCTATGTCTCACAAAGCCTTTGGGAAGTTCTGCATGTTTCCAAAATCAAGACTGATGTATCTGGAAGATTTCTTTAGTAACATATGATGGCTATTTCATGACGTTACATGTCATGTGGAATTCACTGGGTCACGTGGAAAAAACTGGGTCACTACTTAGAATATGAACTCTAGCACCTACATATGGCTTGATTTTTTATTTTTTTTTTTTAATTTAGTAGAAAATAAATAGATAATGCTAATCGCTGTCCAGAAGATACACCCAGAAGATAAAAAGGAAAGGAGCAGGTGAGACCATCTGTAAAATCTTGTTTTCTGCAAGCCTGTTATTTCCTGAGACTGTATCCTATGTGAGTGGGTGCAGGTCAGTCTCTCCTTGCCTAGAGGGTTCAGTGGTCTGAGTGTAAACTTGAAGGTGCAGATGGTATGGTAATGCTTTTACATGTAATATCATTACAATTTTCTCCTGACTAAAGTTGGGACTGTCCAGCACACTCCTTTACGAGGTAACAAGGTTCTCTCATCCACGTTTTCCCTCTTCCCTCATCTCTAGCTATTGCAGTACCGCAGTACTCTACTGCTTTGCTGTAGGGATATCTCCTTTCCTGCCCTCAGAAAGTAATAACTTTCATCCTCTAAGACTTGCTTGAGTCTAAATGAAAGGAGGTGAATAACTGTCTAATTAGCCAAAATCCTGTCAGTGCTCTATAAAAGGGCAGTACCAATACAGTGTCAGTCATCACTTTGAACTGACGAGGAGGGCTGGACTTTTCACAATCTCAAAAAGAGATACAGGTGTCAGGAACCTGAGGAGGACATGGGAGTTTTGCAGTATGACAGTCACCTGCAGATCTGCCTGATTTTCACTATATAATGTAATGCTGAACTGCATCACCATACTGAGTTGAAGGGTTTTATACCATAAAGCTTCTTCCTTGCTCTTGCAGCAGCTTGTGATAAACTACCATGCTCTAGGAAGGGCAGTAGAAAGACACTTTTTTTGCCTTAACAGCCAAAGGTTAGGCACCTCTTCTGGGATTCAGAATATAATGGTTAGGTTCTTTGCCCTGCTACAGTTGTTTTGTTTGATCTTGAGCAAGTTAATCAGCTGAAGTTGAGTATTCGCTACTGAAGTGTAAATGAGACAGAATTCCTTCTTGTACAATGAGAGTTTCTATGGATAACTATGAGGTATACACACACCGTTTTACTGGGGAGCTGTATAAATATCCCGGAGTATAACGACTGGTGTAGTTGCAGACAGTGGCCTTTTCCAGTCAGACATTTAATACCAAGAGATTTATTGTTTGGGTTCAGTTGCTTAAATGTCACTTGTCTCTGTTGGAAGTCATGGAAGGAGCACCATGCTCTTGCCTAGTGATTCTTATAGAGTTGTACTGTTTGTCAAGTGCAGTACCTGCCCAAGTTATGTGCCTTGCACCTTTGCCTTTTTCCATTCTTTTGGTATGTTAGTGACTCTACAAAGACAAGGGACAGGGCTCAGGTAGTGGAAGAAGTGAGCAGGGGTTGCAAGAAGGCCTCAGTTCAAGTGCAACCCTGTCTGAGAGACATCTCTTCCTTCTAGCCTAGACAGGCATGTTGACAGGATGGGACATATAGAGGACACTGGCAACCTAGAGAGCAGCTGGAAATATCCGTTGGGTCTTTGCCATTGAACCAGAAGGAGAAAAATAGATTTGCCATAATTCTCCATAAGTATTGCAAGGAGTCTTTGTTCCTCCCATTTTTCTTCATGGCTCAGTGCTTAAAGGTTTGCATTCTGAACAGAAGAAATAAACATTCCAGCTGAGGCCTGGAAAAGGTTCTCTCTGGAGGCAGAACACAGAGCAGGGTATGTAACACATGGTCATCAGCTGTGTATATACCTTAATTGCATTCATGCTTCTACTAGGCTGCAACAATCTTCTTTGAGCTGCAGGTCTGATGAGCCCCCAGTTCCAGATAGCAGAAACACCATCTTCAGTAGAACTCACAGAGAGAAAATGGCTTCAGCTGTTTTTTCTTCAGAAAAAAAACCCTATTTTGATTAGTTTGATTAGTACAAAGAAAATAATGCTCATATTTATTTTAACAGTACTTCCTCTAAAAAAATAGTTGGAGTAGATTTTTATGATCATTTGGAATATTTACTTAGGGAAACTTCAAAACAAGACCACATTCCCTATCACAGCACCCTCAGGATATTGTTTGATGCAGGAAATAAAATGAGCATTTTTAATTCATGCAAAACTGCCCTCTCTGAGTTAAGAACAGTAATAATAGACAGTTTTAACTACTCAAATATATATTACGTGCTACTTCTCATGGCCTGTCATGTCGCGCAGTGGCAATTCAGTCTGGGATTGCACCACATCTACCACACCACTCTCAGATCTAGATACTCTGGTTATAATTGCAGAAAATATCAAAATTACCACAAATACGTTCTGGCTATAAAGGAGACAATTTGGTAGCATAGCAATTTACTATAAGTTCCAAATCCTATTCCTTCACGTACTGGTTTGAATGCCACATGGGGATGAGGTTTGGCTCTGGAGAGATGTTGGATTTCTTTTTACTATGACTACAGTTACTTCAATAGCCTTCTGGATAGTGCACCAGTGTCGGCTTAGGAAGTAGATGTATTTTGAGTCACCAATTCTGTTCTCAGTTATTCTACTGACGTCAGTAACATGACTCTAGATTTATATGAGTGTAACTGAGAACAGAAGTTGGCCCAAAGTCAAGAACAGTGTCTCCTCTTCTCTGGCCCAGGACAAGCTTTTTGAGACACAATTGCTAGGCCAAGTTCTCAAGGTGAATGGACCCCAGTCTCCAGTGGTTGATCTTTGCAATGATCAGATGCTGGAATAGCTAAAGTCACCTTGTTCTATTCTCTTACTTTCTTTCAATGTTTGAAGTCTGCACTGTAAACTGTGCAGACCCAGTTCTCCATCTTCTTTTGGTTGTTGCAGGGATTTGTACTTCAGCAATGTAGTATCTCTTCTACCAAGAAGGTGAACACAGTCTGTTCACATAGTCTGTTCACGCATAGTCACACATAGTCTGTTCATACCACAGAGTATAAATGAAAGTGATCTTGCTGGATGAGAGAAAGGAGGACTTGTGCTAAGAGCTTTTACCTTTTAACTGTCTTAATCCAGAAATTGCCTTTCCTGATCGACTGGGGAAATGTGGCTGAAGTGACACTGTCTGTCTTGGCAAGCAGCTTCTCTCCTTTCTGAGGGTGCTGTGATCCTTCCCCCAGAGCTTATGCCCTGAGTAATGGTCAGAAGAAGCAGTGCTCGTGGAGATGCCCAGGCAGCAGGACAATTCAGAGGGGAGCACTTAGCTCTAATACAGCCCAGGATGACCAACAACACATGCACTCTTGGCAGCTCTACTACCCAGTAGTGATTGATCTCTGGGTTTGGGGCTTCCTTGTGGATGGATGCATATACAAAGAGCACTACGTAAAGAAAACAGCTCACAAAGATTAAGAAAAGTAGTAAACCTTCCCTTCCCATGCTCAGGGGGAAGCAGTGCTGATGACTTCAGGCTGCTGTGTAACTTGCAAGGGTGCTGCCAAAATGCCACTGAGATGGAAAAACATTTCAGCCAAATAGCAGCCCATGGGGGTGTGGAAGAACAAACCATGCCTTCATGTATTGCAGCAGCAGTGATGTCACTCTATACAGCCAAGTTTGCTGGTTCACCCAGCTCCTGCCTAGTGAAAACAGTTGACATTCAGTCTGTGCCAGGCCAGGAATAGTCTCTGTAACTTAACCTCCTCATCACAACTTGCTAGACACTTAAAAGAGCCACTGAAAAAGTTCTTTTTCTTTTTAAAAGGGAAGGAGGGTTAAATTCTGATTAAGCTCCTTGAAATCTGTACATTTGTGCAAAGTTTTTCAGTAGCTTACATCAGATGATACCCAGTGCCTGGTACCTGACATGTTCCTCAGCCTTTCCCAAGGAGTTTCGTATGTTTAGCTTTGCTTTTCACTATGCGGAAATTGAATAGATTAAATTCATGTATCTGAAATTCTAGAACTGAGTAAATACTGAGCTAAGCATAAACACTGCATCTTACTTGCAGACTGCTATGTTTGTCCAAAAAAAGTAGAGAAATATGATTTTATCAGATAACCAGACTGTGAATAGTTTCTTTCCTCAGCAGTTCAGAAGCTGCCATCATACCTATGTAAATGATAGCCAGACCAGTACAGTGCTGTTGTTTCAATCCCGTCCTTGCAGTGACCTGTATCTTGAACGTTTGAAGAGGATACATTTCCCACTTTAAACACTACACTGCCCAAGTACTAACAGTATGGCCTGCTGAGACAAGGATCTTCACAAAGGGTTTCAGAGACAGAGACTAGCCTACTTCAATCAGCAGCATTGAGTAGTTTTTATAACAGTGACTCCATCTAGGAAAATAATTGCTGGGATTGCTTCATGATCCCTGTGTTTATTGTTATCCTACTCACTTTTCAGCAAATGTTCTCAGTTTACAAGGGACAAGATGTCTCTTCAGACCTCTGCCCATGAGATCTGAAAGCCAAGCTTCTTCCTAGTTCAGACATCACCACCAATAAATAGTGATAAGCATTGTGCCACTGGAATTTAGTCAACAGCTCTGTTGATGAGTGAGCCAGAACATAATCATATGCTCCCACAGCTGTGTTGGCTTTGCACAGTTAAGAGTACCACAGAAGCCGTAAAATCATAATTTAACCTCAGAGCAAAGAGATAACTCATCACATATCTCTGTGGTGAGGATGTTCTTCTACATCTGGCTGCAACCAAACGTGTCATTTTTCTCTTTCTTTGCTTTTACATATACATTTTTTAGCCAAAAAACTTTAAAAAGACCATAAAAATTTCTGTTGGGTACAGGGTTGTCCTTAAGATAACAGTGTTCTCAGATAAGGTGTAGGTGACCATCCCAGTGAGCAAGTTCTTGCTCCTTTCTCCAGGCTTTTTTTGGCTGCTGCAGGTTTACGCAGAAGTTTCCTCAGAGGGGGCTCTTATTTCAGGAAAATCTACTGTACCTACTCCTATATCCTACTTGCCTTACCTTAGTGCCAGGCAGTTTTCCCTGTGGGAAATAAATATTGACATGCAAGGGTTAGATCCAGGGCTCTGCACAGCTAAAAGGAAGCAGCCGTCTGTGTCCAGCATAACTGAGCTTTCCTTTAGCATCCTTTGACTTGCATGTGGAAGCACAAAGATTCCTTTTTTACTGCCCCTCACTACACCATCTGTCTATGTTTCCTCTCCTTTACAGCAGAGGCAGAAAAAAGGATGGGCTTTCAGGTCTCAGCATCTTTACTTCCTAGTCTAGCAGATGGACCTCTGTCTATCGCCATTGGCAGCAGATAGTCAGATGCATCTGGAGTGGAAATACACATTTTGCTCTGCAGCCCTTCTGAAAAGGTGGCACAACTGGAAGGCAGAAAGCAGCAAGGAAGAGGCCATATGGCACAACCCTCTGCTGAGGCTACCAGTGTTGGAGGTTGTGCCAGTTATTTGCTAGGAACCTGATTCCTACAAGCTACCAAACCTTCAAGTTATCAGGTTATTATCATTGTGGCTCTTTTGGTAAGAAATCCTCTAAGTCACTCCTGAAATGGTTGTAAAATGTGAATGAACAAATGAATGAATGAGTATAGCGTGTGAGAAGATCTTTATCCCATGCAAACAAACATCTTCAATGTTTTCAAATTACAGAATTCACGTAAGATCAAAAATGCTGGAGATTGGAAACATCCCAATAAACTACTTCTGCCGAAGCTACCTCATTGGATTATTTTTACCTCCTCACTAAAGATGCTCGGAGATGAAACCAAATACAAGCATGAGAGGAAGTTCCAGAGATGAGAAGCAAAATTGGCAGGTATGCACCTGTATTTCCAAAAATTACATGGAGTGATAGAAACAAAAATCAGTTTTGAAAATCTTTGTACAGCGTAAAAGGAAAAAGCTAATTTTATTTCTGGTGCTAATCTAATTTAGCTCTTCTAAGTCATTGGGATTTTATGACTGGGAAGACAAGAATCAAGATTCACTATGATAATTTCAGTTTATAAATGCGTTGGCTGAATTTTTTAAGTAGAGAAGGAAGGTAAGGAGCGTTTTCATTTGAAGAACTGTGTCTGAGTAACTCAGCTGAGAAATCGCAGTTCCTCTGGTTTTTCACATTTGCTAGTACTGAGGCCTCATAGGGAAAGATGTGCCATTTCCAGGAGTCTTACAGATCTGAGCCAAAGTGGAGACGTGGATCTGGACAATTGGAGGAGCTGAATTCTGTATTTCATTGCTCGGTTCTACAGTGGATCCAAACTCTAGGTGAGGATGGACTCCACCTGTATAGAATGGATAGACGGATGCTAATTTGGATGAAAACTTCAGTGTTTCAGCTCATTACAAGTTAATTATGAAATTCCCCTGGGAAATGGAAATACAGATCAGACTTCCTTTAGGGAGTGGGTTTTATCTAGCTCCTAAATATGCTTCTAAACTTAATGTCACTGTAGTTAGCCAATAGCCTGCTCAAGCTGTTCAGTCTGAGAATACTTATCTGAATTGCTAAGAAAGTAAACCATGAAGGGTTTTAGAGTATACATTTCAAGCATAGCTGAAGGGTCTACTGCTTATATTCATTCCACCCAAGGATTCCCCCAGTCTGTCTCCACATTGATGTAAAGATAGACCTTGATGTGGACCCTGCTTTCACACTGCAGTCAAAGATTAAAGGAAGACTGATATTTTATAATTGTGTTGAATGGGTTATCGTTCACTGCCATCAGTTCTGGAAGTGAAACCAAATGTTCCCTGCACTCCCTTACTGGGACTTACAGAGTCCCCTAGACGCTCCTGCCTTCTGCTGGCTAAACTGATATTAGCAGCCTCTTCGGTTTCAATACATCAACCCAACCATATCTGAATATGGGTGGCTAAAGCATATTCCCTCAGCAGTATTTTCTTGGAACATGTAATGCACAACAAACTACTTTTTATATTATTTTTTTAATGCTTTACTTACAGTGCCATTCTTTTTTCTCATGCTCAGGCTGGTAATTGTCAAAGCAAACTTGTCTGGTACAAAAAGGCTCACTTCTGTAGACATAGTGTGCACTGACATTCTTTTTCTGAATTTACTTACTCATCCTGGCCAAAAAAAGCCAACCTCCACAGCACTTGGAAGTGTTGGAAGTAAGCAAAGGAAAGTGAAATTTGGCTCTTATCTCTTTAAGAACTCAAGTAAGGAATTGTAATGGCCTTTTTCAGTAACTAATCTATCTACTGCAAACTACCCAAATTGACTGAAATAATAATTGTTTTTCATACTGTCTAACGTGTTCCTAGCTTTTTTTTTTTAAATACATATAGCAACAAATTAGTCAGTGGCCAATCTATCTAGAAAATAGTCTTTTTCTAATAATATTACTATATAAAAATGATAATTCATAATCTGTCTTTGCAGAGAAGAAAGATTCCTTCACCTGTTCCATAAGATGAATCAGTATGCTGCAGCACTGACTGGAGGAATTGTTTTATATTTATAAATTGCAAACAACTGGAACTCCGCAACACAGTCACCTGCCCATTTGACACCTGGTGTTAATCCTTTGGATAGTTCATTCATGACTCCCATGAACAATGCAGGGAAATAAAAAACATACAGAAGGACAGAGCGACTCCTCAAGTATTGGGAGTCTCCTGGATGACACAGACCGTGAGGTGAGCAGCCTCACAGATCGGGCTTTCAAAAGTCTGTGCGTGGCAGAACTTGAAGACTCTTACAATGAACCAGATCTTGCCATTTCACCTGACTTCACTCACCAGTTCTCTGCTAAATTTCATCCAGGGGCATTAAACCATGCCATCAAATTAACAGCAAGCTGTAACAAGCTAGCAGCAAGAAACAATGAACATGCAATGTGGGCTTCAACATTCCAGCAGTTACCAAAGTGTGCTCCAGAAGAGAAAAAGAGTGCCAAGAATAACACCCTTGGTACAGAAAGGAAAAAGCTGAATTTGCCAGTCCCTGGTCCAAGGAACAATAAACATGTTTCAAAAGTGTCTTCACTGATTAAGACATTTGATAAGACTGCAAATCAAGGGTCAGGAGATTCTCTGATAGCCAGCAAGCAGCCCATTAAAAATAGCTTTCAAAGATGTAAATTAAATCATGGAAATGACATGGCGTGCTGGGATAACAAAGCCATTTTAAACATCCACAAGGAACTGTCTGGATTTTCTGAGGATAGTCAAGATAGCCACCATGTCAGTGGCAAACACGAGCCACAGAAAAGACCTAATAAAATAGATATGAGTTATTGTGGTTCTGATGGTTGTTATCCTGTACTGATTGAGATGTCAAAAGTAGCCAAGTCAAATTTTTCTCGTTCATCTAAAAATGCTTTCAAAAACAAAAATTTGAAAGTTAATGAGCCAGCAAAAAAAGGCAATTTTCTTCACAGTGAGAATAGTGCTTTTGAATCATGGAATGTCCATCATAAAAAATTGTCTGAAAAAGAGGAATTTGTTGATCCAATAACAAAAAAGGAAAGTCTTACATACCTTGAAGAAGTGACAGTTATTGAAGGATCTCATGCAAGTGAACTTAAATTGCCACCCGTCAAGGCCACTGTTACTAAGAAGGAGAAGAAAGATTTTCAGAGGGAGCCAACTCCACCAGAAACTGCTTTTAGTATCCCCCTCCCAGCTGTATTTGTACCTCATGGTCCCCTCCCTTCTGGAACTGATTTTCCTGCTGCTCTTCCTCCTGTACCCCCACCTAGGATCCACGTGCACCAGGATCCTCCTCAGCCACCTTCAGTCCCTCAGCCAGTTCCACTCCCAGCTCCCCCACATCCCCCAACACCGCCCACCCGTGAAGCTCCTCCTATACCACCCCTGCCGCTTCCAGATCAACTTTCCCCTCCTGACACGTCCCAGACCTCCATCTCACCCCAGTCCATGTCTCACAGGATGGCTTCCCCCTCATCTCTGTCCCAGGCACCTGTTCCACCTCCACGAGGGCTCCCAGCCACCTTAACCGAAGAGAACACCACCAGTCCACCCTGGAGGAGGCTGAGGGCTACAAAAGGGGCATCAGAGAGAAGACGAACTTCAGAGGAGTTCTCAGCCAGCAGTGAAACATGTTTATTGTCTGAAAAAGCATCTGGAGCCAAACCTGATCAGGATATGACTCCTCTGATTAAACAGGCAAACTCTCCTGGATCAGTCAGTCCCATTTTTAACATCACTAAACTCTTAACACCCATTATACCACCAAAACAGGAGATGGACCCCATGGAAAGTGAGATGATCCCTCTCACACCTCCTCCCACTGAGAGCATGTCAGAGAGAGACGATGAAGGGAGTGTGTTTAGTGATTACAGGTCTCGGGACAGTTACAAATCAAAAGCGTCAAGTCTATTGTTCAACTTGAAAGATGTACGTAAACGTGTTAAGACTATTTACACCCCTTCTCCTCTATTAAGAGTCTTGGAAAATAGAAATAGGGCTAGGGAAAGTATACAGGAGAATTTGCAAGAAAAAAATAGCATGAAGATGGCAGAGAGAGATGAATTGAGTGATATAACTTCGGTGTTGTCTGAGAGTGTTCATGAAAAGGACAATAAAACTGATTTAGCTGGACACTTCACAGACAATTACCTGACTTTGAGTTCACCCCAGACAACAGCAGACTTTTTATTTCACCAGACTGGAGACAATTTGCAGCAAGATCATTCAACACATGAAGATCTGATTAAAAATACAAGGGGTAATGAGGACCACCCCTTGTTAGGGCATCAGTGTGAAGAGCCCAATTTAAGAAAAAGTTCGCCTTATCCAGCAATGAAACTATACAGTAGAGACAATACAGATAGAACACTTGGGCAGCCCTTGCAAAATCCCAGTTTCCAAGCTGAGGAAAAGGAAAGACAGGCTGGTAAACCAAATGAAAATGATGCTTTCAAAACACTTCCAAGCCAACTCTCACCAGCAGAGGGTGTACCTTACAGTGACATCCAAACCAACATGGCAGTCACTGGCCATGAAGCACAAGGCAAAAGAAGCCCTAGTTCTTCTGAACAATCTTTCATCTCCACAGTAGAGCAACCATTTCAGGAGGAGCCACTTTCACCAGAACCCCTGGTGGAGAAGGAAAGTCTTCAAGAAAGCCAGAGGACTAAAGCTGAAATGAGTGTAGAAAGTAAGAAAAGCCACGAGGAAAGAAGAAATGCAGCTGGGGAAGACAAACTGCAGTATTATGCTTGTGTCAGCTCTGGCACTGGTGCAGCAGAGAGGAAGGAGGGTACTGAGAATGAACAGAGGAGCATGATGAAAGAAAAGCTAATACAAGAGAAAAAGGAAGAAGCCAATGGCATGGATTCTGCTTCTGACAGCATAAAAGACGCATCCACTCCAAGATCTGAGGAGCCACAAACTCAACCATCTTCAAGTTCAGCCAAACCCTGTCTGTTTATGATCAAAAATAATACATTCAGGTCACCTCAGGTAATAAGAGCTGTCAAGATGCCTCTGTTTAGATCCTTTTCTCTAGATGATACAGTGAGCAGCAGTTATAAAGAAATGGAAGGTAGATTTGCACTCCCAGCTGCACACAGCAAGCAATCCCAGGATGCGCTGCATGCCCCGGAGCAAGGCTGGTTGGCACCGATGCACAGAAGGCAGCAGGATGTGAGGGAAGGAGCAACTGACAGAGGGAGAGATGCCAGTGAGTCTGGATCTACTTCAGCAACACTGGACCCCAATCTTCTGCAAGATTCAGAGAGCTTTTTGTTAGGGAAGCTGATGGAAGAAGATAAAGAGACCTGTGCTTTGTTAAATGAAATTGGGAAAATGAATGAGGGAAGTATCTGCAGAGATAAAGAGAAGCCCCAGATTAGGAAGGCAAGACACAGCTTAACACAACCAAATTTAGGTCCAGAAAATGACCAAGCACAAAACAGCCCCAGCTATCCAACAGAAAGAAAGGTAAATTACTTTAAGAACCATCATTTATTTAATCGCAGAGGTGGCTCTTGTGCAAAAAAAATAATAACTACAGAGACAATTTCCCCTGTGACAGAATCCATACCAGAGGACCATACATATCTTTCTGTATCCCACGAAGCTTTAGAGGACATGCTAGACATGGAAGATACACAAGTTTTGTTAGACAGCAGTAAATGCTCTGCTGTTACAAGCCCCAGATCAGGAAGCACAATGCACTCTCTTGTCAGTTTACCATCAGAGAAACCAACAATTTCTAGCCTTGGAGAGACAGAAGGTGCTATAAACCCTGCCTTACTGAACATGGCATTGAAGAGTCAAGCTGATACATCTGCAGAAGAAATAATCAATTCAACACAGAGGCATCTTCTACTTGATCCTGCAGGGGAAGCTGATAGACTGGAACTAGGGGAGAGAGGAGCGGGCAAGCCTCCTGCTGTGCCACCAAAAACAGAAAAGGCTCTGCGGCGGGCCAAAAAGCTGGCAAGCAGGAGGAAGAAAATAGAAGAGCAGCAGAAAAAGCATCAGACAGAGCATACAGACATTGCAGCAAGAAAAGTTACTCGTTCTGGACACACACTAGCATCTCCCTCACCACTGGGGTATTCTATCCATCCTGCTCCTCACTCAACTTTTACTTCTCCAGAAACTAGTGTAAGAAGACTTAGTGGTGCGTCTGCAGTAAGCCCTTCTCCTTCTTTGACCCAGCGTAAACTTCTCCAAGACCCCGATTCTGGCCAATACTATGTAGTTGATTTACCAGCTGAAGTTAATTTAAAGACTTTTTATGACCCAGAAACTGGCAAGTATATTCAAGTCTCAGTCCCTTCCTCAGAAGAAAATGTATACCAACCCTCATCTTCAGAAAACAGGAATTCTCCTTATGCCTCCTATCCTAGAGCACTGCCTTTACCAGCTTCATCTGTAGCAGTGCTGAGATCACCCTCTCAGCTCTCGGAATCTACCTGGTTAATGTCAACCATACAAAGAGAACCAGCAGAACTACCAAAAGATGGTCAACAGGACTACAGATACTCTGGAGATGTGGATAACCAGCCCTGTATTGAACCAGCCTCTCACTCCTGCAGCCAAGATACTGAAGAAACTCACATTTGCTTAGGAAAGGACATAAGCTCAACCCCAAATACAGTCCCAGTGTCTCTCACTAATTTAGATAATTTTTCTGCTGAAGGAGTATCTTGAAAAATGAAGTAACAAAACATGCCAGCTGGTGTTAAGATCCATTTGGACAGTCACATGCACACACGAGCACACACAGATTTTATGTTAGTACAACACTATGTCTGAATCTCATTGTGGTTTGGGCGGGAAGGAAAATGAAGGATGATCATGCTGAAAGATGAGAGGAGATGGTCTGTCTGAAGAAGTGTAAAATTGAGTGAGCCCCAAATCACCAGTGAGATAAAGGGGCAATGTCAGCTAAACAAATAAACACAACAGTATGAAGCCACTGCTTGTTGCTACTGCTGCTTTGCCATTAGGATGACCTGGAATTGCCAAAGCAAGTGTTCTTTTGCCCAAATGTGTTGCATGATATATGACAGAAAGTAAAGCCTATGAGACCATCCTGTCCATCCTAAGAACTAAGAGAGATGCCCCATCTCTTGAACTTTCCTCACTCAGTGCCTTTGAACTGTACTGGCAGGTAGAAAGCTACAAACATGCCACAAACCTGAGATTCATTTTTTGCTCACATTGATTAACCAGATGTTATAAACTAGAAGATTGTATACTGGATGCACAGTACAACAGCCATACCAAAGAAAAATTTAAACAACCAGAATACTGTTGCAGCTGCTCTTGACTTCTTCTATACTTTTGTAGTGTCCACTAACATGCTGCTGTATTCTTTATATTTGTTGATAATTTCCAAATACGCTCCTCTAGCATCAGGGGTTATTTAAAATGCATCTTTAAACTTCTACTTCTGTCAATAGTTGGCCCAAAATATATTGGTAAGGAGCAAGGTTGAATAAAATCCCATAACAGTATTTAACTTCTTGCTAGGATGAAAAGATCTCTGCTTGATGTAATTGAAATGCTTTTCATTTTGGTTTGGTGTTAGGCTCCCACTGAAATACAGTGCTAACTTTTAAAATCTGAAAAATGTTGTTCTTAATTTTGTTTTCATGCATTCTGTGATTTAAAAACAAAACAACAACAACAACAACAAAAACCCAACATCCAAAGTATTAATTTCTGAAAAAGGATTATCGCTATTCTTTGAAAGCTCTATATCAAACTATGACTCATCCTTGCTTAAGATATTTTTTATCATCACGGATAATAAGAGAACCTTGGTGAAAAGATGGAAAAAAACTGAATGTAATGTGTCTGCTTATAAATATATATTTGGAGTAACGGTTTCCCCTTTTTTTCCTGTCTCATTTCATAGCTTTCCTTTATCAAAATTGCAGTACAGGAGTATTTTAATGTCTTCAGACATTAAAATTTTTCAATGAATTTTGACTTGGAACTCAGAAAACCTATTCTCCCCTAGAACAGAGCTCATCTTGGAAGAATTTAACTATTTGGAAATCAAGAGCGTTTCAGAAACAGGAATCACTTATCAAGTTGTTAAATTAAGATAAATGTCTCCTATTATGAATATTTTTCCTTTATTTTGGTCACAAATAAGTCACCAAACTGACATAGTGCCATTTACACCGTACTTCTCTGGTATCTGCTTTCATTGTATACAACATAATGCCTATCCAGTGTAGGACAGGATGTCATCTACATATAAAAGTATCAATAAATAGATTTATTAAAGTTTTCCAAGGAACCTGTGTGATTGGAAAGCCCAGAAGAATGTACAAGCCATTTTTTTGTTGCTTGATCTCACAAATGTAAATAACCTTAAGAGCCAGAAGTCAAGAGGTGAGCAGACTCTCAAAAAACAGAATAACAGCATGTTTTCCCAGGGGAGTCTTGGATAAAAAGTATCTGTACACGTTAAAAAAAAAAAAAAAAAAAAAAAAAGGTAATTTGATTAGCAAAACATAGAACTGCATTAAAACAAACAAACAAACCTTTAGCTTGATTAACTTTTGTTTGTTTTGTAGATGTGCACATTTTTCCTTTTGTGCTCTTTTTTTTTTTTTTTTTTTTTTTTTTTTTTTTTTTTTTTTGTCAGATTCTTCTCTCACTATGGAAAATTGTATCCTCCAGTATACAACTGCTAGGTATGAGAGGAAAGCAGAGTGAATTTTTCAAATTCTGCGACAGCAAAGTGAAGCCTGGATGTCTGAAGAGGAGTCAGTACTAATCTGAATACCAAACACCTTTAGCCAATGCTTTCTGTTAACTAATAGGATCTACAGTCACAGTAAACTGAATCTTGGGTGTATGTAACGCTTTAATGCTATAATGCGATGGAAAGAACAGCAATAACAGCAGTCTGACAATATCCTAGGCTTCAGCAAATGACAAGCCCAAAAGCAGCAGCCATGGACACAGAAACAGAGAAGAAAATTTGCTTACCTTTGGAAGGCCTCAGGGTTGACAGGGATCTCCAGTCCCTGATGAGGAGATAACCTCACCTCCACTGCCAACCCTTAAAGGAGATGTGGGAAGGGGTGGATCCTGGCTCCACTCCTTCTGGTCCCGTGGGTTGGCCCTGCCTTCCCACCAGGTGCTCAATCACTGTTTCAGGCAGTGATTTAGCATTTCCTCTAGAATGTGTCACAGAGAATTTTGGCCAAGAGAATTTGTAGCTAAATGAAACAAACCCAGAGCCGGAGGTCTTTGAAAATAAATCTGAAAATGATTCTTATCATGTATTCAGACTTGTCCCCAGAGTGCATTGACACATGGAGTGAATGCTGTTACACAAGTGTTGCTTCAGGTGCAGACAGATTATTTATATATATGCATATAAAAAAAAAATATTCTACAGTTAAATATACATGCATTTTATGCACCTATAGAACTGCTATTTGCATGTCAGTATAAGACAGCAATAATGTCTATGATGGTGAACACAAAATGGTTGTGTGTTAAAAGGTGGCAAAACAGTAACTTTTCAAATAACAAATCTTCCCCCCCCCCCCCTTGCACTCTTCTGTTTTGTTTGGTTTCTTTTTCCATTGCTGTAGTGGAAAATCTAGGTCTTCTGGACAAGATGACAGCTGTTAATTGACCTCTTTTGGAGAGGAAGCTATGGGAAATGTGCAATAATCACTAAAATGTTTATTAAATAAGCAGTGTTTTGTGATGCTAATGACCATGACGTTAAAGTAGAGTGAAGGGATGTGTAGGCAAACAGAGCTGAATTCAGCCTTGCAGCAGCCTATGGCTCTGTGTGTAGAGAAGTACAGCAGGCTGAGAGGGGCTGGGGCCATTGCTTTCACTGTTCTCTTCTCTTGCAGTTTCTGTTTCCCGTGTTGTATTCCTGGCTGCTCCCAGGCTTGGTTGCAGTGATGGATCTTCCTTGCCAAGTGTGACAGGGACAAACACGGGCCCAGAAAGTAGCATAGGTGCTCCTCACCTAGACCCTGTCACTGGAGCCTCCTCACTTTGAGCCTTTCTCCTTCTGGGGCAGCCCCAATGCTTTTTGTTCTCACTGTCACACTACAGATGGGGTCTGCCAATCCGTTGCCATGATTCAGTTCCAGGAACTCATCTTTCCTCATGCAAAATGCTGCATTTGTTTCAGAGTGCAGCTGAGTTGGAACATCCCCTCCCTGGGTGTTCAGGGCCTTCTTAACCATCTCTCCAGGAACATATGTGTCACCAGCACACTCTGTATTTGCAAATAAGTAATTATTAATTAACAAATAAAATAAAAGGGACTTGTTTTGCAATACTGGGATGACTTCTAACCAGCTTTTTCATTACAATTATGTCTCAATTTAGCTTTATCTCCAGTTATGCCCACAAAACTATTGACACCCATGAAAAATGTGTGGAGTACACAACAATAGGTCTGGGAGCTATTTTGTGCAAGATTTCCTCTTGCTTTCTACCTCTCCGGCAGAGGGGAGGGTAAGCCAAGTGGGTGCACTACATGCCAGCATCACAGCCATCTTTCCCTCCACCCCACCATGAGGGCTGCAGTCTAGGCAGTGGCCCTGTAGGTGAGACGCCAGCCCCTGGTCCAGCAGTTTCTTCTCAGTTTCTCTCTTTGTCTGTTACATTACAGAATGTTGCTGAAATTTCTAAATGAGGTTTCAGCTCTCTTTTTGTACCAACAGGCAATTTCATTCAGATTCTCCCTGCTTTGAACCCTGACTAGCCAAGCAGTCCTGGCTGACCATGAAAATGTTACTGTGGCTTGGTTAGGACAGAGCTCAAGCAGAAAAATTTACTAGACGTGATTTACCAGAAACACTTTCAATAGAATTGCATCTCTGTATTTGGGGGAAATACTCTGTTTTCTTCCTGTAAAAATTAAGACCTCTATGTTTGATTCTCTGTCTCACTCAAAAGCAGCATCAGGAGCTGGTGATATTGTATGGGATAGGTTACGTGGGCTCTAGTGAATACACTTAAGTGTGCAATTTGGAAGAACTCATTTACATCAGTCATTTTTATTAAGGAAACTGTGCTTCAGAGCCTTATACAAGATAGAGCATGGAACACTTGAGTAAATTGAATATTAATGTGATTTTTGTGTGTGCAAAGGCCCATTATAACAATAGATTTCAACAATTAAATTATTTCTTCTTTAGGATCATTATTTCAGTCTTACAATGATCTTATGTTTACCACTGTCCCCTGATATTAAAGATAATAGTGTAATTATGGGGTTGAAGTGAAAAGGGAATGGCTGAAAATGACCTGTGGTCTTCCCTTACTTCTTTTCAGTATTCTCAAAATCTTTATGATGTTGATTTTTTACATTAGGTAGTCAGGTCTTCAGTACTCTATGGGCAATTAGAGGCTTGTTTCTAATATTTTACTGAACATACTTACAAAGCAGCATTTCAGTAGTGCAGAAGAGAAATCATTTATGTCCCAATTGCTTAAAGCTCTGCATTTTTATTAAAGCAGATTGAACTCAAGACTTTGGGGAAACAGCTTTCCATGCTAAAAATTAAACATCTTCCCATGTCAAAGTCCAGTAGCAAAGATGAATAAATCAACATCTGAGGTACTTCAGAAGGAGGTAGTTAAGATCCTGTGAGAAGTAGGGATAGTCTTTGAAATGTTTCTGGCAATGGAAAGAAGTTGAACTCCAGCAAAAAGTCATAGATGTTTAAACCTAGGGAATGCTTTGAAAAGCCAGGGCTTGTCAAAGTCAGCCTTCCCCTGCACATCTTGTCCAACCTTTTTCCAGAGTTCTTAGTGCATGCCTGCTCCCACCCTTTCAGTGTCAGACCCTCATCTTGTTCTCAACTGCCCCTCCAGTTTCTTAAATCTGTTACAGGAGTGGCAACATTCAAAACAAAACAACCGAAAATGGGCACCATGGTTTTTCACTATAGTAGGAACAGCCTTTAGTCACCAACAATATGGATCATTTCAGGTAAGCTCAGGTGACTTTAACCAGGATTTTCTTTACATTGACAGACCACAGATGGCAAAGAAAGATTGAAATAAACAGGGATTCTTCCTTTTATTACAAGTGCTGATAAGATGCAGAAGATGCAAGGCAGATCTGGCCCAAGAGAAACCCTTTCTTTGATCATACTGAGATTTCTTTGACCATGCTGAGAAAGTCCATTGGGATAATCAGTTTCTGCTGCCTGGATCAGGTCTCCTGGGACTGCATCCTTTCTCAAGGAAAGTGAAGGAAATATTTCAGAATTATTAATTGCCAAAATTGGCTATGTTTTTTTTTTTTCCCAACCCCCCCCCCCCCCCAGAGTCAGAAAGAAAATGCAATGCAAGATGTTATTTGTTATAGTACATCAATACATGGATGTAGGACTATATAACAGTGTTTCTGGTGTTTCATGTCTACATGTCCGTTTAACTTGTTATAAATATAGTATTTTATGTTATAATGAAATGTCTGGACATGACCTAAACAGAGCCCCTGAAGCTCCCATTGCTTCTCCCACCTTCTGGTCTGCATGTCCTATTTCTTGCACTGTCTGTCCCATAGGAGCTCTACTCTCCCCTGGGCTTCCTATGTGTTCCAGACACATTCTTCTACCCAAGGAAAATATTTGCCTTTTTCCATATTCTTGTCCTAGAGGGAGAGGTGTACCTACGATGGCCTCATTCCTCCTTCTGTCCTGCCAGAGGAGTGAGCAGCTGTGCTTTCTGATCATGAAATCCCTGCATTGTCAGCCTGAGACAATATACACTTCTGCTGGCAAAGAGGTCAGCCATAGCACTGCTCCAACCAGCAGTAAACTCCTCCCTTTAGCAACCAGCTGAGCCTTCACATACACTAAGCAAGGTCAAATACCAGCTGGAGTTCTGGAAACCAAAGCGTACTGACACATACTGGCTCCAATAGTTTCCTAAGAGCCACATACCACCCTGCTTAACTACAGTTACCTTGGTACCTGCCCTGCAGGCAGCGGAACCTAGGTCTCCTGCTCATGTTTGGGTTTTTCAGCTGTCTTCTTGTGAGCTGAGACATTTCCTGAAAGAAACTGAGTAGTTCTCATTTGATGCTGACATGCTTACATACTGCTGCCACCGCGGAGCTCCCTCTGGTGCCGGGCTGCCCGCATCTCTGCGTACAGCTGCTGTGAGACAAACTCTGTGCAGGAGGTCTTGTTATCAGTGCTGGAGGCTGCTCCTGCTGCTAACCAAACGCATTTTCAAATGGTAGAGGAACCCGGTTGTGGTTTTATATACTTCTGGGCATTCACGACATGCTTAATGGTGTGCAACATCAGTATCCCTGGAGGATAGT